ATGGTTCCCATAAAGAATATAAAGGTCATTTCTTTTCTCTCCTTTCAGTATCAGGTTGTTATCTCTATATATGTTCAAGCATCCATGTTCTGCTTTATAACAACATCCTGATTCATCTAAGGTGCCAAGGGATATCAAATTTCTTTTAAGTTCTGGTATGTACCTAATCCTAGTTAGTTTTACCATTTTTCCATTGTTAGCCCTTAGAGTCACAGTGCCTATCCCTTTTACTCTACATGCATTATTGTTTCCCATGTAAACAGTTTCATTTTCAACATTTTCAAATTCCTGGAACCAGTCTCTCCTAGGACTCATGTGAAATGAACAGCCTGAGTCCAGCACCCACTCTTCACCAGTGTCATTCATTGACACAGTAAGTACTTCAGGTTCCTATACCAGGTTTCTAGTAGTGGCTAGGTTATTCTCAGTATTCCCTTGTTTTTGTTTTTTAATCCACTCAAAACAATTCTTTTTAATATGCCCAGTTTTATTACAAAAGAAGCATTTTCTATACTCTCCTCTATGCTTGTTACTGCCCTTCCATTTTTTCTTATTTCTAGCCCCTTGATTATTCTGATTTCCTTTACCAGTTTGACTAGGTTCTAGTCTACTCTTAACAAACAGATTTGTGCCATTTCGTTTCTGAGTTTTCAATTCTAATTCTCTGGCCTTAAGTCCTGCTGTTATTAGGTCAAGATTTGGTACAATACCCGAGTACTGTAGGGCATTCTTGACTACCTGGTAGTCATCAGTCAAGGAATTCAATAGAATCATGACTAGGTTGGTTTCTCCTAAAGCTTGGTCTGTCCTTTTTAGGACCAAGGTCATTTTCAGAAACTCGTCTAGGTTTTCATCTATACTCTTAGCACTATCCATTTTATAAGAGAATAAAGGCCCCTTTAAAAAAGCTAGGTTGGGGGCAGATTGCAAAGCATACAAGGTAGTGAGTTTACCCCAAAGTTCAATCGATGATTCAATTCCATCTACCTTCCTGAGGATGCTGTCGGACAGATTCATGATTATCAGATTGTACGCCTCCTCATTGATCTCCTCTTTCTTTTTCAACTTCTCCTCTGGCCACTTTTCGGAGTCCTCTTCCAGTGCGATGGCAACCTTATTGTGAGAAAGCAATGCTTTCATCTTTTTCTTCCAACTCCCAAAATCAATCTTCCCATCATATTGGGAGATCTCCATACGAGTAGTACTCATTATACTATAATGGTAAGAAAAAAAAAAGAACTTAAGAAGGTATGCGGCGTTGTTACACCAGAAGTTGTCAATTACTGCTAGGCAGTTTTTAAGGCGTTTACTGGTTTCCAGCCTATATACCTTTAAACTTAGCCAAGATTTGACTCCCTAGATCCTATTGGAGACTAGAAGGAATCACAGTTTCGAAAAGCCCTAATTTCCAAAAACCCTAATTTTACAAAACCCTAATTTCACGAAACCCTAATTTCTAAGAAATGGCTCTGATACCACTGTTATAACCACTCACACAAGAATCAACCAAATAACAAAAAGATCACAATCAAGAATCACAAATCACACACACAAGAACAACCGGAATTTTACCGTGGTTCACTTGCTCTATATTTGAGCAAGCTACGTCCACGTTGAACTCGGGAAACACACGAGCTCGCTGCACTAAATCACTATCAAGATTACAGATTACACACAGCAACACAAACCCCTCAATAACCCTTCTTCAACTCGTAACTCACCCTAGAGATTACACCCTTCGAATCCCTATAAACAGCGTATACAATACACCGAGAATGACCTGACCAAGTCACTCAATCAACAAGTTACAAGATTCACTCAACCTAGATTGAAACCCTAACAGACTCAAAATGGTGTTTAATGAAGAAGAGAGACATTTACAAAAATGAATACTGCGTACAAAATGCCAAAATAACTCTGCTTTTATATGGTTGACATTAAGGTTAAATTTCAGCCGTTGGATCTTCTCTTCATCAACGCTCAGGATTGTTTCTTCAGTTTGGATCAAAACGACGTTGTTCCATTTAAGTTCTAATACGACAGCGTTTCAAGCCATCATCCAACACATAGGAATTAGAGTTAGTGAATACAGGATTTTCGTCCTCCATTCTTTCATTCATATCTTTGTAAAATCAAGATTACTTAATTGATAATATGCTTTTTAATCTTAATGTTTAAGAGTTCTTCTTCTTCTTCTTCTTCCTTTTTCTTCTTACTATTATTATTTGGGGTAAATAATTGTTGATCTTGAGCAACCCGACTCTCCTCTTCAAAACCCATTCCTCCACTAGCACTCTCCACTCGCTGTTTGCCGCCCATGACCTGCATTTGTCGCCGCGAGACAGTCGCGTTTTGCAGCCTTTTCTTTTGCGTTTTGCTGGTTTTCTGGTGTTTGATGGGGTGTGGCTGTTTAGAAGTGTTTGTGTTGCTGTTGTGGTATTTTTACTTGGTCGCCGGCCGCTCCCCCATCACTCCAACTTGCTGCTTCATTGTCGCCCACCACTTGTTCGACCTTTTGCTGCATCAACTCTCAATCTGCCTAGCAACCAACTGTTGGAGTCTAGGCTTATTGGTGACTGATTGTAAGATTTACCTAGCCATTTCCCTACTGCTGGCGACCAAAAATTTTATGGATTTGAAAACGTCCACCACTTGTTTGCTTTTTTTGTGGCTAAATAGAAAATTATCACATTGTCCTTCAACAGACAGAATTCACTAACAGAATTTAACGAAAAGTGGGTGTTTATCATTTCCAAACTTTTTAAGCACCAAATAGTTTTTACGATAAACAATGGTGGGTGCATGTCATTCAGCCTAATTTATTATAAAAGATTTATTTCAGTCGGAGATTTGATTACCAAACTTCATGGTGAAGTGATTCAGATTCATATCATTACGGGGTTTTGCAGGAAAACTTTGATAACTAATAACAGAGACAAGAACCAAAAGCTTCCAAAACCGAAAAGGAAATATCAACCGACACATCGTAGGTCCCTATAAGAGAAAACGACTATACTTTTAAATTATTCCTTTTTCCTTCAATTTTGATTTTATTTTTCTTTATATATTTAATTTGGCATCATCATCTCTGTCATACTCAGGAAAAAAAAAGACGGTACGTTACCACTTCAATTTACGGTTAAGTGTATCTTTTTAGGTTAAACTCAGAAAATAGTTGGAAAACTCTTTTCAAATGTATCAGTGCTTCTTCTAAAATGTTTCAACTGTTTTTAAGATTACAACACATTTTAAAAACCCAATTTTATTTACTTTAATAAGATCTATGAGGGATTTACAATACTTTCTTATGGTACCATATTTTATTTATTTATTTATTGAAATAACTGAACTCTCAAATGCACTATAATTCCTTTTGGTTTGGCCTGCCACAAAATGTCTAACGTTACTCTTATTAATCACTTGTTACAAGAATCTTAGATTCATGCAATTAGGAATCAAAGACCTGAAATTGCATATAATTGATTTGTGGTAGGATGTGCATTGGGAGATAGTGTTTTCTGTAGCTTTTTTATCTTGGTTAGACTTTGGTTTTTGATTCTATCTCAAGAGTTTGTCTTATGGTTGGCTGACCATCTTTATAGGTCTTTTTGTACATTCTTTTTATTTTTCTATTTTGAGCTTAATTACAAAAAAAAAAAAAAAAAAACAGGAATCAAAGAGCTGAAATTGTACATAAAAAACCCTAAGACGTCAGCCTGATAGTCAAAAAAGTTTGCTTTATTCCTTGAGTTTCTGGGTTCAAACCTTGGGACCACCTACTACAATAATATTATGGCTTACCTGGTCTTTTGAGGTTGTAGAGTGTTCAATGAACCTCAAAGATTAATTGACATGTACGCAAGCTAGCCCAGACACCCAGACTACCAAAAAAAAAAAAAAATTGTGAGAGCAAAGCTTAAATATTTGATCATAAATTAGCTTCATGAAAGTGAAGTGGATGACAGAGGCTGCAATAGGCGGGCTGAGTTGTTTTCAGGTGGAAGGTGCTTTGTAATGCCACACAATATGGACATACGCACGGCCACTCATGTCTTAATTTGTTCCCATCAACTAGTTGAAATGTACAAGTACAATAATGCAGCTTCACCATAAAAATTTATGCTAAATTTGTACTTGCCTAACCTTTCCTGTGAAGGCATGCTAGTTTTGGGTCACCTCTGTCTCTAAAGTCTGAACAACACTGAGCTCGCAATGGTTGGTGGTTAATTGCTAAATACAATATAAAGTGAGAAACGAATAACAGAAAAGACACATGTCAAATAGGGAATGAACAACCTCTCTCAAGTTCAAATCAACATCTCTTTGATATTACAGCAGAGAATCAAGTTCTGCACGCGGATCAATGGTTAACCAATGGCTACACCACTTCTTGTTCTCCTTGAGAGGAACTCTTCTTTTATTTCTCACCACCATTATCAATCACAAGAACAAGTAGTACTTTTGATGAAGCTTGCCGCTCAATCCTCCTAACCATCATCAATAATTTTGACCATTTGCATTTCATCAATGAAGATAATGGATTGTGAGAATATTGGTTTTTTCATAATCATATTATGCATACGTAAGTTGGACAAATATCAGTGGCCTGACCCTTAATGGACGCAAGTACAACCATTAAATCAGGGATAAAGATATTCGCCAGTAACTAGCTCAGTTCTGCTAAGGTTCTAGCAAACTGGACAATGCCAGCATGTGTAGCAATTGAATGAATCAAAAGCTACTTCTAACACCGCCCATCCATTTCCGTCCCCACCCACTTCATTTTTTCACCATCCATCACGCCTCATTGATTCCAAATCCGAACCCATCAATCAAATCTATGGTCCTAGTAAGTTGAGCTGTCAGCTCCCGACTTACTTTAAGCTGGTTTAGTGTTTGCTAGATTAATTTAGTCATCATATTTTGAACCAAGTTATTGCATATATATATATATATATATCAATATAAGTTGTGGTTTTTCACAAGCTTAGCCCCCCAGTTAGCTAGTTCGATCTCTTTTATCAGCTCAGCTTGTTTATGCCTTTCTAATCATCTAGTCAATTCAATATGTACATGTCGCCGCTAAAATAAAGCTGAAATTTTAACCAACACTGTTTATGCAAGAATGCAAAAAATGGAAGCTGTGAAGAGTGTTACAGATCGACCTGAGCCAAGAGACACCTACAAGATTGCTTATATAATCCATTTCCTTCTTGGTGCAGGGAATTTGCTTCCTTGGAATGTTTTTATAACAGCAGTTGATTACTTTGGTAGTCTCTATCCAGCTAGGCATGTTGAAAAGGTTTTCTCTGTGGCTTACATGACTTCTTCATTACTTGTTCTAGTTTTAGTGGTGAGCAGAGGTGGGTGGAGTTCCAAGCTGAATTATAGATTGAGAATGAACTTGGGGCTTTCCATGTTTGTTCTCTCTCTAGTGGTGCCTCCAATTATAGACCGAGCTTGGAGCGACAGCGGGACAAATGGAGCATATGGTGTGACAGTGGCATCAGTTGTGATCTGTGGTTTAGCTGATGGCTTAATAGGTGGAAGCTTGATAGGATCGGCTGGGAAACTTCCAAAAGAGTATATGCAAGCTGTTTTTGCTGGAACAGCTTCTTCAGGTACAAAACGTTTCTCTTTGTGTTCCTATTTTCATATTCTTTTTGATTAATTCAATGTACCACAAATACATGAACACTGCAGTAAGAGGTTAAGAACTTTAAAGAAAAATAGAAACACACTAAAATAAATCTATTTCCATGTCAGCAAATATGCTGATGAGAACTAGTTTTTAATGGAAGAACCAAAAAAAAAAAAGCATACTTTTTTAGATCAGTTGAAACAAAATTTGAGGAAGAATGGCCTTAAACGACATGAGCATGCTTTTGCTTTTTGCGAGAAGTTTAAAGGTGCATGCTCGAAATTATTAAAGTAGTGCCTACAATTTATGTTACCAGGAATCCGGAAGCTATTTCTTTCACTTTCACTGTTTTCGTTAGCATGAGAGATCCCTTAATGCCCTGCTATGGGATCCCTTTTATGTTTCTTCTAATCATCACTCACTATCTTTACTTTCTTGGACAATAATTGGATCACTTCCGAGAAAGTCTAAGCAGTTCCAAAATGATGTCGCATGTTGTTGCAAAATTACCAATTTATTATAAATATTATGATTGAAGAGACTTGATGTTCTTATAAAACCATTAGATTGTTTTCAATGGCCATAATTTTCCTTGCACTAATCCATCTGGCTGCTCTGCTTAATCATCTGAATAGAACACTTAGACAGTTGCTTTCAGTTTTTTGTCCTAAAATAACCTGTAATATAGGTGACAGGTTAGAAGAATCCAAGTCAAACTCAACTCAAGTAATTGTTGTCCTAATGAACCCTTTTTTTTGTAACAGGTGTTCTCGTTTCCATCTTGAGGATTGTTACAAAAGCATCACTCCCACAGACTTCACATGGTCTTCGAACAAGTGCCCACTTCTACTTTATAGTCAGCACAGTCGTCATGCTATGCTGCTGTCTGTGTTGCTACTTGTTAAACAAGTTACCAATCATGCAACATCATTACGGACTTCATAGTGTCAGTGACGATCCACTTTCTTCGAGGCAAAAGTTTTGGACAGTGGCAAGAAAAATTCAGTGGCCAGCTTTTGGGGTTCTCCTTACATACATAGTGACTCTGTCAATTTTCCCAGGATTCATTGCTGAAAACCTGGAATCTAAGCTTCTTCAAGATTGGTATCCTGTTCTACTGATCACGGTTTATAATGTTTCGGACTTTTTGGGGAAGTCTTTCACTGCAATATATGTTCCGAAGAGTGTGAAAAAGGCAACATGGGCTTGCACTGCCAGGGTTTTGTTCTATCCACTTTTTGCTGTTTGCCTCCATGGACCCAAGTGGTTGAGAAGTGAAGCACCTTTTCTAGCTCTGACATTCATGCTCGGGTTGACTAATGGGTATCTGACAAGTGTGGTCATGATCCTCACTCCTAAGTTGGTGCCTATTACAGAAGCAGAGATAGCTGCCATTGTGATGATTTTGTCCCTTGGAATTGGGCTGGTTGGTGGTTCAGTTCTTGGTTGGTTTTGGATTATTTGAAGCTTTACAAGTTCTCAGGCTCATGGTCACCTGTGGCTTGGAAGAAATTAGGCTTCTAAATTAGATATTGGATTATCTTCATGTAGGCCCAAAAAAAAAAAGAACCATTAGTGAATAACAAAAAATCATTTGGCAATTCTAATTAGTGTGATTGATGAACTACTTCCAATTCTGTAGTTTGTTGATTTTTTCAAATCTGTCATGTCATCCTACCAAGTTCTTCATCTGTACTCTTTGACGGCTAATGGCAAAAGTACCCTGCCCAAATGAAATGATACCGATATTAAAACGGGCAGAAGTTAGCAAAACAAAAATCATAAAATATCCAGCAATTAAGCATCTCCAACTTCATGAATAAATAGTGGAAGTTAACGGGAAAAAAACAAAAACATGAAGTGCACTGAGTAAGGTCAACGGAAAAACCCTTCATTCATGTGCAATAAGAATTCTTCGGGCATTCAAATCACAATCAACAGAGAATCAATTCCACTGAGGCTTAGCTTGAGCTACAACAATATGTGGTTCTGAAACCGCATTTCATATATGTCTGATACTGTAATTTGGATTTGACACCCTTGGCGGCGTACGATATATTTAGAATTGTTGGGCATTTAATAAGTGTTTATTGTTCTTCAATAATATCAAAGCCAATCCTTTGCCAAAAAGCAAAGATTTCAAGAATAAATTGTAGTAGTGATGCAGTGGAGAGAGAAATTTCAACAAAAAATTCATTTCATTGTTAGTGATATGGCAAGTTTTGACCCTGTTTTATTTATTTCGCGTTCTCATCCTTAAAGTAGCATGGTTAGTGATTGCAGAGTTCTGACGTAGAGGGTATTATTACCAAACTGCCCTTCCATCTTCTTCTTCTTCTTCTTCCGGCCATTGTCACTGCCACCACCACCTAGCCGCTATCGCCACCCAGCCACTGCTGTCACCCAGCCACCGTTGGTTGTGGCTTTTTAACAAACAGATGGTGGGTGCTGATGGGTGAGTCGAAAATAGCCGATTTTTCAACAATCTGATCTCTTAAAATTCAACAAATCAACTCTAATCAATAGCCAAGCAAACTTCAAACAAAAACTCTTGTAAAATCATTTTCAAACAGCTCCAAAAATCAAATCAAAGCAACCCAGAGCAGTTGCGTGAATGGCTAATCGGGAAATGGGTTGGGGTCGCATAACGCGACTGAAGAGGTTGATGTTTAGAAGGGGCGAGGATGGAGGTTTGAATGGTGGCGACGGGGGGGAATTCATGGTGTCCAAAATGGACGAAAATTGGTCGAGAAACAATGAGTTTGCGTACAAGTGCAGAGGCCGTCGGTTAGCGATTTGAGGGTGCGCTGGGGTGGAATAGAGAGGGGTTTTGGTGAGCGTGATGTGAGGATTTAGATAGAAGTGTTTGGGGGGTTCGGTGGTGTCGAAATCCGACCAGATCAGGTCAAAAACGACCATCGAATGGGTGAAGACGGGTCACAGGAAAACGGTGCAAATCTGGCTAGAAAACACTCAAACAACCTTCAAAAGGTGATGGGTAGCTGAGTCCAGCTGATTTTGGTGGTCCGAACCAGCGAGGAGCCTGCTGAACAGCCGATGGCAGTGTCAGCAGTGTAATGGGTTGGAAATTATGGGGTATTGGAATGATTATTTTACCCCTTAACCATTACACTGAACAATTTTCTGTTAATTCAAGGATGAAAATCTGGAATAAATGAAATTAGCGGTGGAAACATGCCATTTCGCTAATTTTGGGTGGGAAAACTTACTCTTTTATCTTTTATTATTCTACTACATGATATGGCTCGAAGAATAATAACATAAATAGAAGTTACAGGTTAACAATACAACTCGTCTCAAAAGCCAGGAAAAGGTTAACGAAATCTACAGGGGGTATAAACAAAGGTCAGAAGGTTATGTCCAAACTATGATACAAGAAAGACAACAGGTGGAGAATCTAAGAAGCAGCAGCTATTGGAGAAGGTCCAGAAGAAAGTCCATGGAAATAAATAGGTTCTGCTGTTTTGGTCATATCTTCTCCCTCCTCATCTTCTTCTTCTTCCTCCTCAGCATCCCAAAGAAATCGAGCATATGATGCAAGAACGTAACTGTACCATCAAATTAATAAAACAACGTCAACCCATTGACTCTTAGAATCAATTGAAGGTAAAAAATCACAATAAGAAAAGGTTACAAGTCAGACTTATATCACAACCACTGCAGGTTTCAAACAAATCTTTGTTTCTTCATTTTCCTCGACTTAAAAACAACTTTAGATTCGTCATAATTTACATAAAGAAATATAAATAAACTATCATTTCAAGAAAACCAACTCTCTTTATGCTCAATTAGCAGCCTCTAACCGCGCGAGATCTAGAATTATTACAATCTGTAGTCACCATTCTTTTAAGAATTGTATAACATGTACCCAATTAATAGTCCATGGTTAAGATCGGGTTCCATTCTTTTCCCATTAACTACCATTCAGAGATTTATAAAATTTAAATATGATTCTCACCAGTCATCAGGAGTAGCTTTTACAGCTTGATCAAAATAAGCTTCGGCTCGAGGAGCATCCTTATGACTCCGCCATATCAAATCCGCATACATAGACAAAACATTTCCATCATTTGGGTTTGCCAAAATTGCTCTCCCGCAATACTCCTCTGCCTTCACGAAGTCCGCGCGAACCTGTTTTCACACCCATCAAACCCCTCAGCACAAACAACAAGCAATTGTATTTTTAAATTATTAAAGTGATGATCTTGAATTAACATTTACCTCTTTCAAATATCTGGCTTAGTTACTAAGAAGTAGCGGATTTCCAGGATTAGCTTCGATCATCTTCTGATAATAAACATCAGTTTTATCATTTCCATTATTATTTGACTCCCACCTTCCATCTCCACTTCCACCGTTCGATCCACTTCCACCGCCACCACACATCTTCCCGCCACCACCGTACACTCCACCACCTACCATAACACGAGCGTCACCCTCTTCACTCGCTAATCCAGAATTCGAAAACAAACTACAATCCAAAGACGCCGTGCCGATTTCGTCTTCCTCCGCGACTGCCACTGCACTGATAAATGTGTTGGACAGTCTCTTCTTTGGCAAGGGCGGCACAGTACAGCTTCGAAGATCGGTCTCTGAGAGCGCTCTCGTCATAATTTTAAAAGAATCATCGTTTTGTGGAGGAGAAAATTGAGGAGTTGGAGACGAAGCTGTTAATGTGATGGATTTAGATCTTTGTATTTGGTGAAGTGTTTCTAGCTCCGGTAAAGACGACTCTTTCGCGTTTGGTATCCACGAATTCAGTATCGGCGTTGAAGAGCTTCGTAGAAGCATTTTTTTACAAGAAGCACAAGGGTTGAGAATTAGAGAAAGTGAGTTTGGGAGGAGCTGTAAGATCTCAACTCTCCAGTCGTATGGAGTTGGTGGTCTGAGGGAGAAGACGCGCTCTCGTTGATTTTTATAGGAAGACAGAAAGGAAGGTACGGCTAAGATCTCGGCCGTTGGTTGAGTGCGCAACGGATCAAAGTGGTATATATGACGCTGTGTGGCTCACGTGCTTTAATTGTAGATTTCTACGCATTGTTGTTGGTTGACTGTTATTGCCTTCCTTGGCTACTATTTTTCAGTAAGTTCGATATTACATAAAAATTTTCTTTAAATAGATTGAATATACAATTTGTTTAATAATGTGTTGACAAGTGCTCTTATTATCGTTGAATTAAGTAAAAACATTATTTTATAGTGTTTCATTTGTGAAGAAAATTGAACAATATTATGCTTATAATTGGATTATACAACTGATTATATAACCATGCAAAAAATGAAAGATAAAATAATTATTTTACATAAATTTTGTTTAATTTTTGTCTCAGTCATATAAATCAATTGTAAGCAGGGGCAAATCCGGCCACTTCATCGCCCACCCTCAATTTTTTTTTTTAAATGTTATTATGTATAATTTATATATTTTGGTCTACCCTAACAAAAATATTAATGGACAAAAGTATTAATGTATAATTAATTTTTACTTTGACCCACTCTAACAGAAATTTTTAGATCCGCTAGTGATTGTAAGCAAAATATAATTGTTCGTGAAGTTGGTACTATTCTTTTACATAAAATCAAAATCATATACTAACGAAGAAACGTTGGATTGATCTCTTTCCTACAACATGACTTTTCAACTTAAGAAAACAGTCAAAGTATTCAAACAGTTTCTCATAAAAAAAAAAAATGGTCACAAGAAAATACTGACTTTGATATACATTGTTTTGGTCAGAGGTTATATGGGATTACTAAGGTAATGTTATTTTATATTAATTGATTATCACGTTTGGTTGTCAAGTAATATAAGATTCTGGTAATCTTCCAATACTAATAATAATTACTGTTGGTAATATATGAAGTAATCTGATAACCTCAATTTTCTTAGGTATTTTAAGATTACTTAGTAATCATATTTTTGCTACAATTTTACCCTTTATTAATAAAATTTTAGGACAATAATGCCCTAGTTTTAAAAACAATATATAAATTACCAATTGACTATTTTATTTTTTATCTTTATATACAAAGTTTTTAGGACATAAATACCTCTGAAATTTAAAAAAATTACCCAAAGGTGGTGGTTGGATCTGGCCACACCTCTAGCCACTAGAAACCACTGCCGACGGCGATGAAATGGCGCACGACCAACAATATATGGCCGGTCATGCGGAATAAGGCTATTTTTTACCATGGATCACAAATCCATGGCCGAAAATAGCCAGATCTGGCATTTCACAGCTAGATCTTCACTTTTGTCGCCGTCGACAATGGCTCGGGGTGGGTGGGGGTGTTTTTATTAAGTTTTAAACATTTTTTTTACTGTTGGGGTGTTTTAGCTAAATCTGAAATGTAAGGGGAAATTATTCAAAAAATAATATTATATTAATATTTAAAAATGTAGACAATTTAGTAAATTATATAACATACTCACCAATTTATTCCTTTAAACCAAACATATTAATATAATATACCCATCAATTGATTTCAACCAACCAAAAATATTTTCCTAAACATTCACAGTAATCTATCATTCCATTAGTATAACATTCCCAATAATACAATATTCCCTTAACCAAACACACCTTAAACGTATAAGTTTTAATTCCAAAGACTAACAAACAATAGACCAAAAAAAGTAGGAAGAAAAAAGGGACCCCGATCTAACTTAGTTAATACATAAGGTTAGTATAGTATTTTTTTCATCATTTTGTTTTTAAAGTTTAATTTTAGAAATGAAAATAACAAGTTTGATTCTTGTATTTAAAAGAAAAAGTTTGAGAATGTGGTTACTTTTGTTTTCTTAAAATAGTGAAAAAAAATAAATATTATTTAAAAAATATAATAAGAAACATATTTTCTTTTATATTATGTGTATTTCTTAATTTGTTTGAATTGTATGTGTAATTGTCTGTTTGAATCACTTTGATACGACTAGTAGTATTTTTCTCTTGGTTTGGAAGTTCTCAAGTCTCACATCATTTTCTAAAATTTTCACTAAAAATTAATAGTAAGATAATAAAATAATAATAATAATAATCTGAGCCAGTACACGGCTGAAATTCCACGAGAGTAGGCCAACATAAACACAGTCACGTGAACTGGACCCCTTATAACCGAGTGATTCATTACGTACAGGAGTTTGACGGTCTCGATTCAGCTAAAGCACGTGATATTTCGCTATAGCGATTAGCGCGGTCGCTTCCTGTCAACATGAATGAAAGTGAAAGGGCAGTGTTTTCCCCCAAAAGCCCCTGCATTTTATCATATCGTGGAAGGCTATGTACGGGTGGCTGAGCTAAACTTTGGTGGGGCAGGTGGTGATCGGCAGTAGCGAATTGAAAACCATGAGCCGCATGACGGTGGAGCCCATGGATTTTATTCAACGGTGAGGCGTGAAGCTTAGTGTAAGTGGAATCAAGTCGTGATCATCACGTCTTGGCCATATTTGGAAAGTGGACAGATGCAGCCGCTCTTGGCTCTAGTCAGATTTTTAATGGATCCCACGCTTCCAGTTATTTTAGTTTTGTAATCAAGAGCTGCAACTTGCAAAAGGATGGGTACAATTGTCAATTTCTGTGGTGTCGATAATTTGTGCTAAGATATTTTCCTGCCTCTGGTTTATTATTGCATTTGTCTATTCTCTACATTATGTGTGTAATTGACAAATTGTAGTGAAATTTTGACGCACGATAAGTACGGGTTGCTGTTTAATAACGCCCGTTGTTTGAATACCAAAATCATTATAATAATAGGATGTTTGAGGAGGTGCATAAAGCATAAACATAAGTTTCAATATTAATGTTAGATCATTATTAGATATTTAATCAAATAATTACTTGACATGATTTCAAAACTAAAAGCCTTATATTTGAATTTAATATTACAAGTGGTTTAAAAATCGATATTTATCAATAAAATTACAAAAAAAAATTGAAAGAAAAATTGAAAGTACAAATTTCAAGTTTGAATAGCTTTGACTCATAAATTGATAAAGACAAAATTGTACAAGCAAAAGAAAAAAGAAACATTATTATATGTAAGGGCATGTTTGTGAATACGAAGATTGTATTGAACTATTTAAAACCAAAATACTCACCCAATTGAGCAAGCAGATCTATTTGAAATAACCACCACCAGGTGGCATAATAGTAAAATAGAAGGATATAATATAGTCTCTCAAATTTGAATCCCCTTAATGGTAAAAGAGAAAGAGAATGATCTAACATATTCTGTTGAGTTCAAGTCCCCATCACTGGAGTTCTTACTTGATTGCTATTAGAGCTTTTACTCAACTAATAGTTCTAAGATCCCAAAAGATTAATTGAGGTGTGAGCAAGCTAATCTAGACACCTTCTATTATAAAAAGAGAAAAAAAATTATATTTGAAATATTACTTAATAAATAAAGAGTAATGTTACGTCAACAACCTAATCTCACAAACTTCTCTTACAACGTTAAACGTGACAGTTAAGTTGACACTTTCACATCAACTCCACCATACCCAAGGCACAAATTTTTTTACTAGACCTAAGAAACGATTGTTTCTTCATAGGAAAACGACCATTCCTTCATAGAGAACTATTGTTCCTTATGAAGGAATGACCGTTCTTTTCTAAGAAACGATTATTCCTTCTGTGAGGAACGACTATTCTTTCATAAGGAATGATTGTTTCTTATAAAAGAACGATCGTTTGTGTCTACTTAAAGTCATTTAGTGTCTGAGGTGTGGTGGGAGCTGCGTGACGGTGTCAACTTTACTGTCACATTAGGGTTATAAAAAAAGGTTATGAGATTAGGTTATAAACTTAACGATTTTTAAAAAATAAACTCCAAATTCAGAAGGGCCAATCATTAAGATTGAGAGAAAACCAATAGATCAAGTAGAGAGCCACCCAACCCAACTTGCAAATTTAATGTCATAATTAAAGTATTTACGGAGAAATATTTTGACCAATAATAATTAAGATGGCGAAAGATGTATTATGAGATGGGCCACCAAAAAAAAAAAAGGTGGAGATGAAGTTTATAAAGAGATTATGTGAATGAAATTCAGGAGAAGGATGCTCAAGATACATTTTCCATACAATCTCCATCTCAATCACTATCCTATCAAATCAATTTAGTAAAATCCTCCAATTAATCAATTATAATTAGTTGATGGTTTTGTAGGATCCATATCTTGTTTAAAATTATTATTATTATTATGATGATGATCATATATATATATATATATATATATACACACACACACACATATATACACGATGGTTTTGTAGGACCCATATTTTGTTTAAAATTATTATTATTATTATTATTATTATTATTATTATTATTATTATGATCATGCATATATATATAAACTGAATATCCATATGGGTTGTTTGCCATGTGGCATATTTTGAAACTCATATAATTGTTTTATTTTGACACATATGATTTGTGGTTGCTATATAGTTGAATTTTATTAGTGATGTTGTAGAGAGATATTAATTACTGAATTGGTATTCCAAATCCAAATGTAAAAACATACCTATTTAAGTGACACGTATGACACTTTTTTTTTTTTTTTTAGCTCTAAAATTGGTTTATTTTGGAGCTCTAGAATTGCTCTCGCTTGCCACGTTGGATGTGTGGTTTAATGAGATATTTTTAACTCTAAGATTCATGAATATTCATGCTGGATGTTCGCCATGAATACCCATGCGGGTTGTTCGCCATGTGGCACATTTTGGAAGATTTAGAATAGCTCAATTTTGACACATTGGATTGACAAGCCAGTATCTTGATACGTTGGATTGGTATTTA